TTCTTTTTTTTTTTTTTTTTTTTGCCTTTTTCTTTTTCCTCTCTCTCTCTCTCTCTCTCTCTCTCTCTCCTCTTCTTGGTTCCCAACGATAAACCACCGCCAGTTATTTTTACCGAGTCGACGATAAAATTCCTTTCTTTTTTTAAGAATTCTTTGTTCGTGCTTTATCATCGTACTTTGTTGATTTATTTATTTATTTATTTATTTATTTACTTATTTATTTATTTATTTATTTATTTTTTCGTGGAAAGCTCAGAGATCGAGATTTTTGGGGGGTGGAAAAAAAAAAAGAAAATCTTTTCGAAGGAGAGATAATAAAATTGTTTGTGCAATTTTTCTTGAATAATATTTAGAAATATTATATATACATAGACATACACATATTTGTTATGCATACAATCATTATCATATTTTCTTAAATATTTTTTTATCGGATATAATCGATTACTTAAAGTTCGAAGAAACAATATTTAATATACTGTGTAGATCATATACATACATCACATTCACGTTATAAAAGACTTTCGTAACGAAAAAGGAACAAAGTAATGTACAACATATCTCTCTCTCTCTCTCTCTCGCGCGCGCGCTCCCCCCTCTCTCTCTCACTCTTTCTCTATCTCTTCGACAGTAAAGGAATAAGCTGGCATTTAAAAGCATCACGATTAAAATATATTTAATAAATAACCACGTTTAACCACGATCGTGATTAAAAATTCAATTCGTAAAGGCTATCTATACATCGATTAGTACGAGAATTCGTTTGATCTTTTATAAACGTCGACATTTACAAAAAATAGGAAAAAAAAAAAAAAAATAAAGAAAACGAGCGATATGCATTCTTTATCTCTTCTTTTTGTCGATAGAACGTAACATGATTCCTTTGGAAATCATTATCATCGATTTAAACCAAATCGATTATATGTTATATGTATACATATGTGTGTACGTGTATACGTGTGTGTTTGTGTGTGTGTGTGTGTGTGTAAGAGAGAGAGAGAGAGAGAGAGAGAGAGAGACAAAGAGAAAACCCGGAAAAAGGAATGATGTAACGAAAAAGGAATAATGTAATCGAGTTAAACATGAAATTATTTTTCTTCCTTGTATAAAAATATTATTGAAGGAAAAAGAGACAGAGAGATAAACAGATAGATAAATAGATAGAGAGAGAGAGAGAGAAAGAGAAAGAGAGAGAGAGAGAGAGAGAGATTTTACAACATCGTAAAGTCTCGCCTTTCCTTCGTTAAAAACTACATACCATTCTCTTCTTTCGTAACGAGTTAAACGTTTACACGTTAGACGAGAAAATTGGAACTATTTTGTAAAGTATATCGAGGATAATTTCGAAATATGAGCGACGTTTCATAAAAAAAAAAAAAAAAAAAAAAGAAAAAAGAATATTAATCGATAAATAAAACGGACATTATATATATTATTAAAATCAATTAATAATGATAAATCTGGATCGTCGTTTATCCACGTTGGCAATCAATCGATGCAAAGTCATCGTTTTAAAGTCAAACGTTTCCAATAATAATTTTTGTAATAATAAAGTTATCTTTTACATATCTATATAAAATTATCTAAAAGGTCAACGTATAATAGATATGACTGCCGACGGATATGCACGTGTGTGTGTGTACTTTCTCGTCGATTATAATAGAATGGTAATTACGATGCGTGACGACAAATATCACGTTGAACAGACGTATCACAATGTTTTTCATAATCATTGATTATGATCTGGATCGTAAATATGTACTTTTCAAATATCATAATTGTAGGTTAGCGAAAAAAAAATTAAAAAAAAAAAAAAAAAAAAAAAAAAGAAAAAAGAAAAAAGAAATGCGACGATAACAAAAATTAACGTTCCCATTTCACGCATTGAAATCGTTTATCGAAGCAAACGATATATTTATCGAAGATAATCGTAGAAAATCGATTAATCGATTTATTCGTAATGTATTCTTCCGAAACTCACAATGATCCTCGAAATGATTCGATGGGGGAAACGAAAGAAACAAACCAAAAAAGAAAAAAAAAGAAAAAAAAAAAAAAAAAAAGAAAAAAAAGGGAAAAGAAGAAAAACAAAAATTAATCATTAATTTCATTTCAAACAAATCAATTCACGTAAAATCACGATCGTTCCCCTTTTTCTTTGATTATAGAAATGTATAATTTTATTACAGAAAGTTACAATCGATGGGTTTAACTGTTAATCAAAGCCATAATGCAACGATAGATATAAAATTGCACGGGTTTGCTTTCTAAAACGCTCGTCCAAGCCGAACTCGATCTGATGCCGAACGTCGTTTTCACGTCTCGAAAGATATGGATGGGATAAATAAATCATGCCAACGGCTCGTTAGGTCCTCTCTAGGAAAAAGTGAGAGCTAGTTACTCTCACGCGTCCACGAAGGAAAACATACGAGATAAAACGAAAAGAAAATCGCTCGGAGATCACATATGTATATATATATATGTATATATATATATATATATATATATATATGGGCACACGATATTTTCTTAAATCTAGATCATCGATGAACGTACCTGTGGATCTTGTCCAATTATACAACACTCACCTGCGACCTCAAGAAAAAAGATCGTAAGTACGATTTAAAGGGAAAAAAAATTTATCGCAGCTTCGAACGTATATATCGAGATATTATTATTATTATTATTATTATTATTATTATTATTATTATTATTATTATTATTATTATTATTATTATTATTATTATTATTATTATTATTATTATTATTATTATTATTATTATTATTATTATTATTATTATTATTATTATTATTATTATTATTATTATTATTATTATTATTATTATTATTATTATTATTATTATTATTATTAACTCTTTGCGCTCCTTAATCACTTTTTTCTTTTTTTTTTTCTTTTTTTTCTTCTTTTTTTCTTTTTTCTTTTAATCTATCAACTTAATTCATTTACATAATAGATTGAAAAAGAGGGATCTCAATAAAATGTTGTGTTAGAAATGTATTCGAAAAAAAAAAAAGGAATAAATTAAAATCAAATTTAAATACTTTATAAATAATTATTTTAGAAATTAAATAGTTACACGATTATGTCGAGGTCTAACTCGATTTTAAAAATGGTATGATAAATGTGATATCGTGCTCTCACTTGACATAAGAGTGATAATTAATAAGAGAAACAGAGATTAAAATAATAATAATAAAAGAATCGCCACTATTTGAATCGTTTCGATAAAAAAAAAAAATGTATATATATATATATATATATATATATATATTTCTATATATACGTACGTACATACACATGAACATAAAAGATATTACTGATAATAAATAAATGGAATTGAAAAGAACATTAATTCAATTGTAAATTCATTTTTGAAAATAACAAATGTAATTCGATAAATGTAAAATATTTTAATTAATATATATACATATATATATATATATATATATATATATATATCAAAATACTCATTTGATATTGCATTAGCGTTGCAAAGCTAATAATGGAATTATATTATTCGACATATTGCAGAACGAAGATTGAAAACTGATCAGTGATCTAGATCGTTGAAAGAGAAGATCCATCGTAGGTCATGATCGAGAATTTTGATCTCGAAACGAATGAACGAAGGAACGAACGAAGGAACGTACGAACGAAGGAACGAACGAACGAACGAATGAACGTAAAACGCGTTAAAAGTGAATCATTCTATGCGTAAAAATAAGCGTGTCTTATCGAGCGTGTGTGACTTTATTTTTTACAAGGTCATTTATACACGTATGTACATATTTTACTATACATTCCATTTGACGGGGTCAAATTGAAGAGCCGTTCTTGGAAAAACAAACTTATCCGCAAAGTTTTTTTTAACAGCCCTACCCTTGTGTAAACACACACACACACACACATAAATACACATACACGCATACAAAATGAGAATTTGAATGGTCGTGAAAGATTCTTTTCGACTGCGAATATTTTTCGCGCTGATTTTTTTTTTTTTCTTTTTCTTCCGTAGATATATACATACATAGATACACACATACATACATATATATATATATATATACACACATATGCTTACATATTCTTCCTTTGATTTTTTTTTATCGTTGAGAATACGTCGAAAAACGGACGGAAGTTTATATCGAGAGAGACGAAGACTATAAACGAATGCGTAAACAAAAAAGAAAAAAAGAAAAAAAAGAAAGACAAACGAGAAGAAGAAAGAAGAGAAAAGGGGAGAAAAAAAAAAATAAAGAAAGAAAAAAACATCGCGTATACATGCATATATATATATATATACGTACAAATAAGGTACGTACTTACGTACTCGATTTGGCTCACGAGAGGCGTACTTACTTATGTATCTACTAAAAAGTAGGAAAACAGAATTGTTAAAGAAACGGATGAATGTGTATGTACCACCATCGACAGCATCAGCATCAACATCAACATCAACATCAACAGCTCTCATCACATCGTAACTACTAGTCAGTCGCTGGGCGTGGAAATTCGAACGAGGATAATGGAAAAGCGCGATAATGAGCACATAGGAAGGAGGACGAGAGAGGAAAGGAATGTTGGTTTGTGTACGATGTTACGGAGAAAAAGAGAGATAGATAAAGATAGACAGATAGATAGATGGATAGATAGATGGATAGAGATAGATGGAGATAGAGAGAAGGAGCGAGAGAGATAGAAGGAGGGAACACTTCTCAAGTGATGCGACCCTGTTTCTAAACAGTGCACTTCTGTGTTTGCACGCCTGACAAATACCTCAACGTCATCGCACGTTTCCAGATCGTTTATGAACTTTATTACAGATACATACATTCATAGCTTACATATGTATATAAATACATATTTAAGCTATAGAACACGTCATGGGTGAAAAGAAGAAAAACAGACGATAGTTCGTGATCTCTCTCTCTCTCTCTCTCTCTCTCTCTCTCTCTCTCTCTTTCTCTTTATCTATTTCTCTCTGACTTTCTTGCATCAAAGATGTAAAACGAAATTATTAGTCAATCAATCAACGTCATTCTAAAGTCTATCGTGAGTTTATATTGAAAAGAGAAGGGAGGGAAAAGTGGCAATAAAGAGGGAAACGATTACGAGAAGAGACGTGTATATATATATATGTATATATATATATATGCATGTGTAAATAAGTACACACACACACACACACGTACATTTACTGGTGGCCTTAAGCACAGGAGACGTGCGAACTTCCGGGGGACGTCAAACGGGGAAAGTGAAGATCCACGTGCTTCTTGAAAAGGAGGGGAGAGAAAGATAAAAAAGAGAAAGAAAGAGAAAGAGAGGGAGAGAGAGAGAGAGAGACAGAAAGAAGGGAGAAACGTTGTTGGGCGCCAGAGAGACGAGAGAAAACGTTTCTGACGTTTCGTAGACCACGCGAGAGAGGCAGCACGTTGTGCGAGAGCTCCATTTGTCCGGTTGTTGGTAGTAAGAGGTGGAGAAGTTGGTGAAGGAGGAGCAGGAGAAGGGATAAAAAAAAGAGTAGGAGGAGGAGGAGAATGGAGAAGAACGTAAGAGGGCAAAGAGAGGGCAGGTAGGCGCGTGCCACTTAAAACCACTGCGAGAAACGCGGTCGTAGCCTCGGCACGTTGCTCTGTGTATGTATGTATGTTGTATGTATATGTATATATTTATATATATATATATATGAGATGTGTGAATGTATGTATGTGTGTTACATGTGTATATGTATGCTCGCGCGCGACTTGTTCACCGAGCCTCTTCTCAAACGTCATTTAACGAGCCGAGCCATCGTTTATTTCGTTCGTTCGCGTTCGACCTATGTATGTATGTATGTAAGTATATATGTATGCATATATCTGTGTGTGTGTGTGTGAATGATGTATGTATGTATGTACGATAAGTAACCCCCTTTCGATGCATCTTCGATTTCGCTTTTCGCTTCGATATCTCGAAAACGTAAAAGGACAAATTCAAAATTTCTCATCAACGCGAAATATTCAAATTTCTCATTTCTCATAATTCCTTTGGTATTGTCCTTCAAAAATTTATTTCTTTTATATTTTTGTTTATTTTTTTTTTATTTTTTTTTTATTTTTTTTTTTATTTTTTTTATTTTTTTTTTATCTTTTTTTATTTTTTTTATTTTTTTTTTTTTATTTTTTTTTTTTTTTTATTCTTACACACGTATATACTTAGGATTGCGTACATAAGATAAGTGTAACCTTATTTCGATGCTTCTTCGATTTTACTTTTCTATGTATAAAAAACGTAAAGGGTAAATTTAAAATTTCACATCTATGAGAGAAAGAGAGAGAGAGAGAGAGAGAGAGAGAGAGAGAGAGAGAGAGAGAGAGAGAGAGAGAGAGAGAGAATTCATATTTATCGTCGTTGTCGTCTTTGTCGTCGTCATTTCAGGGCACGGCAAGGCACGCAAGAAATTTGAACACGTAAGAAATTAAAAAAAAAAAAGATATATCAGAGACAAGGGCGTATCTCTCACGTGGGAATATTAAGGATACATATAATACACACATACAAACACATATACAAATACACGCATACAATTAGAACGACTGGGTTCTACTGGAAAAGATGAAATATAAAGATGAAAAAGAAGAGGAAAAGATAGAGGAAGAGGAAGAAAAAGTTGATGATGATGATGATGATGATGATGATAAAGAATAAGAAGAAGAAAAAGAAAAAGAAGTCGATGACTTCTTCGGGAACGGGCGCGCTCTTTCACGAGCTGCCAGCGAGGCGATGCTTTGCCCCCAAAACCCTCATACCTCGATGTGCCTCTAGAGAAAGAGAGAGAGAGAAAGAAAGAGAGAGAGAGAGAGAGAGAAATATCTCCTTTTCCGCGGTTTTCTCTAATTGAACTAGTTTCCTTAGACCTCTACCCGTCGTCATCGTCATCGTCATCGTCATCGTCTTCATCGTCGTCGTTATGTTGTCAGATACATAGGTTTTCAAGGTTCCTCTAACAATCTACGACCATCTTTTTACTTTTCCATTCCCTATATTAACATATTTTTGACTCGAAAGAAATCCAATTTCTAACGGGGTAATATCTTTCTTCTTCCTTTTTCATTTTTTTCCCCCTCTCCTTCCTCTCCCGTCCTCCCATTTTCTTTCCTTTTCCTCCTATCTTTTATTTTACCTTTCACCCATCCCACCTACATACAATAATAATAATAATAATAATAATAATAACAATAATAATAATAATAATAATAATAATAATAATAATAATAATAATAATAATAATAATAATAATAATAATAATAATAATAATAATAATATATTTGTAAACGATACAATAGGAATTGTCACGATTTTACGAAAGTATATCGTTATTATACGAGGAATTACCTAATCAGCGACAGGATTTAACGATAAAATCTAGATAAATCTGCGTAATAAAGCGATAAAGTCCAAGTCGAACATAACAGAACAAAACAGTACAAAACAGAACAGAACGAATGAACTATACGCGCTATCTATTATCTCGTTCGACGCGACCGATAAAGAAAAAGAAAAAAAAAAGAAAGAAAGGAAAGAAAAGAAACGAACGAACGAACGAACGAACGAACGAACAAACGAATAAATAAACGAACGAACGAACGAATGAACAAACAAATGAATGAATGAATGAATGAATGAATGAATGAACGAACGAACGAACAAATGAACAAACCAACGACGATCGGTCGGCGAAAGTGTTTTCCGGAGTGAAAGCGTGCAGCACGCTACACGAAAGCTTCTCGACCACAAAGAAGATTACCTCTACCAGTGTGGAAGAGGGCAGGGCAGGCAGGGCAAAGTAGGGAATGTGATTGCCTTCTCTCTCTCTCTCTCTCTCTCTCTCTTACACTCTCTCTCTTTCTCTCTCACTGCTCTCGAGACAATCGGATCGAGGGCTGAGATAATCGTTGCGAATGGAAAGTTTGAGATCCTTGAAAAAGAAAGAAAAAAAGAAAGAAAGAGAGAGAGAGAGAGAGAGAGAGAGAAAGAGAGAGAAAGGCGCAGGGGGTGGGGGTTGGGAGGTGAAGGGATTGGAGAAGTAGCATTGGATTTCGGAAGAGGGAGAGAAACGAGATAGGGGTGGGGTGGACAGAGGTAAAGAAGGAGAGACGAACTTTCACGAGATTTGGAGAGAAGATGCACCGCTTTTGGATGACGTTGAAGGGACAGGTGACGGAGGGGGGGCGGGGCTGCAGATGGGAGAGGGGGGCAATGACGGAGAATGGGAGGGGGGAGGAGGAGAAGTAGAAGGCGGGATAAAGAAGTTGAAATCATTGGATAGGGATTAGTAGGGGGAGGTAAGGGAAAAAAACAAATGACAAAAAAAAAGGAAAAAAAGGAAAAAAAAAATAAGAGAAAAAGTGAACCGACGTTAGTCAGTCCCCGTCCGTCTTGTCCGTCGGAAATCGACTGAATTACCGGACGAAACGTCGTAATCGAGCTTGCTCGCGTTCTTCATTCGTTTGTAAATCTTTTTCGAAGACGAGAAGATCCGATGTCCTACATTCGACGAGTAATATCGAGACACCCGTCGTCGGTCGTGGACGTCGCGATCGTCGTCGTAATCGTCTCCGTCTCTCTTTCTCTTTCCCTCAAATATCTCCTCTTCTCTTTCCCCTATAGACCCACGCCCCTCGCCCTATCCCCACTACATCCCTCCTCACGGCCCCTCCCAAGCCCCCATCACCGGTGGAACGATTGCCCCTCTTTTATGCCGGTTCCTCCTGGCCCCGGTTATATTTAGTCGATATTTCATCCGTTTTACACTGAAGCCGGTCGTTAAGCTGATCATTACGCCAACTTGTGAGAGAACAGAAGGCCTCTCGGCTACGACTAGGCTCGAGCCAATTTTCTTTACTTTTTTTTTATTTTTATTTTTATTTTTATTTTTATTTTTTTATTTTTATTTTATTTCATTTAATTTCTAACATTTTTCTTCTAAACTGAACTTAAATGTAACGTAAGTAAGTAATTAAGTATTTACTTATTTACTTACTTAAGTGCTTCCTTGTGCCAGGAAAAAAAAGAAAGGGAGGGGGTGGGTGGGGGGAGGGGCAGGGGAAAGAGAAAGAAAAGAAAAATATGATAAAATATATACCTTGTAACTTGTCATTATATCTAACTAGTTAATGTATAATTGCCATTTTTTTCCTTATCATATGCACTTATGAAACACTCGAGTCATAAGATAATATCAATCCTTGAAATATACGTGGTTCATTGATAATAATCTGTTGGATTTGTTCTTAATGTGCCGCTTGATAATCGAGGCGCGAAAAGAGAAAAAAAAGGAAAATGAAATAAAACGAAAAAAAAAAATAAATAAATAAATAAAATAACCAGATGTGATATATGTTGTATCTGATTATTTTATATAATTTAATTTTTTTTTTTTTGTTTTTTTTTTTTTTTTTTTTTTTTTAATATACTTATGACACTCGAGTTATATTTCATGATCAATGAATTAGGATAATAAAATCTATCCTTGAAATTTACGTATTCATTGATGATAATCGACAACGATTGTGTTCTCTCGTATGAGCCGATTAATGATCAATTCGAAAAAAGATGAATAAGGAAATAAAAAATAAATGAAATTTTTATATTAATGCAATTTCTAATAAGCTCATGTCTTATTAATCTTGAATTATTATTTTTCAATTATCGAATACTTAATAAAATTTATATCTGAAATTTAATTGAATTATTGATAAATAATTCGTTCGATTTTCTAATACAACCGATTAACGATCAAAGCGTTAAACGACAAAGCGAAGACACGCAAGGTAGATTAAAGTAGGTAAACAGCCTATCGCTGACCCGTCACCTGTGTTCTCGTTCTATCGAGAGCAACGCGCGCGCCTATCTTCGATGGTAGGAAAATAGAAGAGCATAGATAACGCTCGTTAGTTTCCGATCGTAAGTTTCGTATTCTTATCGAGAGAAACTTTCATCGAGAGAAGTTGCCATCCTGATTTCTAAAGTACGAAAGAAGACATATATATATATATATATATATATATATATATACCATATTCTTAAAGTGAATTGGTTTATCAATTTTCAAATACGAAATAAATTATATGAAATATATCTATCCATCGTTATCTTTCCTTTCTTTGATCGATCACAATCGATTAACGATCAAATTCTTTAGAATCCGCAAGTTTTTATAAGATATTTATTTAAATATTAATTGTTCAATCGATAAAACAAGGAAGTAAGTACTCGATTATCTCGACACATTGCGATATCTCTCTCTCTATATATATATATATATATATATGTATATCGTACGTAATGTGTATTAGACAAATAGATAGATAGACGAAGAGATAACGATATAAAAAAAAAAAGAAAAAAAAAAAAGAAAAAAAAGAAAGAAAAAAAAAAGAAAAAAAATGATTTTTTATTCGATTACCCGATAACCAATGTCGAAATTTTCAATATAATATATAATAATATCATTTGTTTAGATTAAAAAAATATTACAATTGATATTTCAACAAACGATATATAATAACGTACTGTTATTATTTATAATATTATCCTAATATATATATTATATATATATATATATATATATACACAAATGAAAAAATATTACGTCATTTATTTTTATATTGAAATATTTTCAAGGAATATTTTCAAGGAAAAAAAAGAAACGAACGAAAAAAAAAAAAAAGAAAGAAAGAAAGAAAGAAAAAAGAAGAAGAGAACATTATCATGATTATTTATTAAAATAAACCTTTATATAAAAAAAAAAAAGAAAAAAAAAACAATAAAACTTTCGATATCTAAAGAGATCCGATAGATTAATTACTCGACATTCGACATTTACAGACGAAGCTTTACATTCGAAGAAAGTAAAACGATCCATTAGAAATCCGAGCGTTTCTAATCAATGATCAAACGATCGATTAAACGAGACCGTTCGAAAGTAGCTATGCATTACGAGTGCATACATGCATACATACATACATACATACATACATACATACATACGTAACCTATACGTAAGTATGTTCGTTCTTCTCGAAGAAAACGACGAGGGCGGGTGAACGAGTTGCGGGGGCGGGACGACGACGGGGATAGGGGGGGGGAGGGAGGGGGAGACGCGAAGGCAGACAGGGCTAAAAGGGAAGTAAAGCTTTTGTAGGTGAGGGAAGCGAGGAGGGGAAAAATAAAAATGCAAAATGAGCGTAATCGATGAATAGAAAGAGTATCGAAGGGAATCGATAGGAAGTATAGAGAGCAACGTGGGTAGAGCACGTTCACTCGGTGTAATGAGGAAGTGGTGTTCCTTTGGAAAGAGTTACAAGTGGAGTAGGTTAGGTAGAGATAGTAGTAAGTCGTTACACATGCGACGACGCCGTTTCTTCTATGTAATTCGCGACTGAATGCGAGCGGGCATACGCGCGAATAACACCATG